AAATCTTCCTTGTCCAAAGGTAAAAGTATAGAATATGCAGATGATTTATAACAAATGTAAAGTTGCTTTCTGTTTGCTGCTAATAAGGCATTACAAAACATTACACAGAATAGCATTTGTTTTTCGGTGAAGTATTTGTCACTTGCCATAACTACTGGAGGAGGTGCCAGAGGGCATCTCAGTTACATGAGAATGTATGAACATGGGAAGAGCCCTGCTGGATCAGGCCAAGGGCCCTTCTCATCCAGCTTCCTGTCTCTCACGGTGGCCCCGCCAGATGCCTCTGGGAGCATCTCAGACACAAGATCCTTGTCTCCTGACCCTCCTCTCCTACATCTGGCATTTCGAGGGGCCTTCCTTCGAAGCCTGGAGATTATACATCCCCATCGTGGCTTGTCACCTGGGATGGGATTTTCCTCCAGAATCCTGCCCCATCCGGTTTTCAAGACATCTAGGCCAGATGTCACCACCACCACATTCTGTGGCAGGGAGTTCCACAGAAACCAGTTTTGTTTTTTGTTCCTTCAATTTTAATCTTTTGGATTCCTTCCTTCCTTCCTTCCTTCCTTCCTTCCTGTCTGTTGCACATCTGACCACAGTTAACTAAGGCAGAGATGGGATGATATAATAGTGGGAAAAGTCCACAATCAACATTTGTACTCTCTCTTACCCTCTGCACACATCTGGTGCTGATCAAAGAAATCAAATATAAGAAGTCTTTCTATATAAGGATTGATTGCTTTACGCTTTTGTGTGGGATTCCTCTCCACTTTGGGTTTTATTTGTTTTTTTGTTTTTTTTAGTTTATTTTAAATAAAGAATTCTAATGTGCTTTCCTTTTTTGGTTTTGGTTTTCATTTTGTTTTAACAGACAAAGATTGCAGTCGAAAATCTTCGTGATCGATACCAAAAAAAACCAGGAAATATCTTAAGAGCTCTATCAGAACGATTTGAAAAACATCATAAGGATGACTAGTATTTTTCTATCTTATTAACTGATCTTATATCCTATTGATAGGTCTAATTAAAATATTCATAACTGTATAAATAATACATTCTTAAAACATTGACTTATGTACTCTTCTCATGTATTTGGAATTTATAAAAGTGTGCAAGTAATAACCGTTCATGATGTTTTCAAGTTTATTGTCTGTCAAAACTGAAAACTAACAATAAAATTATGACTAATTTTCTTTATGTCATTCATGAGATATTGTAAACAAAGCAAAGTGCTATTCTATCACCATCATCACCTTAGATCTGCATAACTAGAAGGGACTCTGTGGATCATTAAACTTCCTAGAGGTTGGCAGTTCAGTTCCTTACTGTGCACCCCAGAAGAGTCAGCCAGCTATAAATGTTGCATTCATTGAATTTGTCCACGTTCACAGAAAATGTGTCCTGTGTGCAAGTAGCCCTATTTTACTAGATAATTCTTTGTTTTTCCTACTTTGCTTTGAGATCCATTAAGTCAGTTTCAGATGGCCCTGGCAGAATCTTGTCCTGTTGGGAAACATTCGGTTTAGCATTCATCCATTTGGCAAGGTGTGTTGTTTTTGCTCTGCATAGATTTAGGCTAACCATTTCTAGTTTAATATTTAGAGCTTGAGTAGGTGCAGAAAACCTTTCATCAATTGTAATTGTTTTCTAGAGGGTTAGTGTCCATTAGTGTTCATTCATTACTTACAAAAAACAACAACATACCTCTGGAGGGGCAATGCCAGCCAAATAGTAGCTGTTTTCAGTGTGGATAGGTTTCTGGCAGCCTGCAATATGTATGACTCATTAAGAGCTACATTCATTCGTTTAGTATGTGCTGATTTATACCATATGGCAATAGCTTAGTTTGCTATGGACAAAGATTTTGTTCTTATTGTTTGTGGATGCTCACCCCAGTTTAATGATCCACAGAGTTTCCTAAGCATGTTATTTTTGGTGTCAATTTCTTTTTGGTGTTTAGACAATGTTTTTTGTAGATCAAGATTCAGAAATAAGAAAAGCCAAATGAACCCAGGTTTAAAACAGTTTATATTGACTGAAAAGACTAATCTTGCGTACTTTGAAAGAGAATTGTTGGCTCCACTCCCTTTTGAATTTG